CATTCAGCTACCACTTCAAATTCAGTCACTATCATTTTCAACATTAATTTTCTAATTCTGATCATGCAAGCTTTCTCATACGCTTCCATCCCCTTCCCATTCCCACTCGCTCTCTTTCCCATGTCCTATACTGAGGACATTTCTTTTATTGACAATAACAATATGAATAGAATATTTTTGTGTGAATGTATTTGTTTGCTTGTGGTTTGTTGAAGAAGGAGAAGCACTACTAAGCCTCCGCAGATGGTTTTTTTTTTGCTGATGATGCTGTTGCTGTTATCAGTCATAAAAATTTTTGTTATCACTTTAGCATTTCCTGCATTGATTCAGCAATCATTCCACTGATTTATACAATTCACACATACGAGTGAGTACATTTAGGTGTATTTATGATATTATTCTACATGCAGCACAAATATTTTTAACAATATTTCTCTTCTTAAAAAAAATTCATCACAAACTCTGATAGATTACGCTGAATCATGTTAGAGGGATTTCATTGAGAATTTTTTTCAAATAGTTCGTAAAATTTCAATAAACTTCTAGCTAATGGTAGGAAGACGAAGATGAAGGAATATGGGTAAGAAGATCTAGGGTAAGACCTGATGTAGTTTTGTGTGATAAGTTCGAGATTATTGAGATTATGATCATGAATGTGCAGAGAGCTGATAACTTAAATCTCTCGATGCTGTATCGCGCGATCAGTGCGATAAAGTAAGACTTAAGATCGCTAGTTGTCATGAACATATTATCCATTCTCTTGGTGATCGATATACTACAAATAATCGCTAGCCACTCAAAGTTTCCTTCTTGAAAACTATTGTTGAGCTCTTCTTAACTGGGTGATCGCAGGGAACTTTACAAGGCATACTCATGGTCACGTGTAAACTTACGTTCTCACTTCAAGAAGTCTACACAAGTAGTCGTAAACACGACGATTTTCGCGTTTCTCGTCCATTTGATCGGCTGTGATCGGAGTGCCCAGTTCAATTGGTTCAATCGAAAGTGAACCACCAGCATTCGGGCTTCTGTGACCGTGACCCGTCGGTGTTATAAGCGTAATACTTCGCCTCTCGAAGCCTTCTCGGCTGATCGGCTGACTTATGACCGTATGTATGCCAGCACTTCCAGCACCTCCTCCAGACGCTTCGAATGCGCTCGATGAAACGCGAACATTGACCAGTTCAGTCTTATGAGTACCATATACCACTTGCTGTTCTGAACGCGTCACTGTCTTCGTGGTTCTTTGCGTCCTACGAACCACTTCAGTGGTCTCCATGATCTCTTCTCTATCGCTTTACCTATAACAAATCATGCATGTGCCCGCAAATCCATCCAAAACGCAATAAACAAATACATCACTATATACATCTATCTATGTATGGACAATAAGATGGACTATGAAAGCCACCAAATGATTCGATTAGGATACAAACTTCCACTGCGAAAAGCAAAACAACGATATCAAACCCAGTTAATGTAATCATTCGAGTAACCATCATTGAAAAAAGTAGAGAATGATAAATTCTGCAATATAATCAATCCACTCATGTGGCCAAACTCGAGATG